AAGTGGTAATTTTCACTACGAAAGTTGTAAATCTCACTATGTGTTTTGTCAAATTTAGTAGGAAATTTTATTAGTTTTTTAGAAACAAGCTGCCCATCCCTTGAAAACAAGTTACAAAACCCATTCAATAAGTGGTCATTTTTACTACGGAAGTTGTAAATCCCACTATACGTTTTGTCAAATTTAACGTGAAATTTTATTAGTTTTTACAAACAAGTTGTTTATCTCCTGAAAACAGGTTGCAAAACCCATTAACAAAGTAGTCACTTTCACTACAAAAGTTATAAATCACAATATGTATTTTGTAAAATTCATAATTAACTACATGTATAGTGAAATTTACCATTCACGTAATGGGATTTACCAAAAACCAGCAGGCATATGACAGCAGTTACGTTACGTAATTGCTTGCCATTGTTTTCTGATTTCCGCTTCGGTTCACTCCCTCTCTCACTACAAATCCTCTTTCCCACAACCAAAACCCACCAAATCAACAATCTTTACAGAATGGTAATGCGAAGGATTTAGTTTCGTCAACTGGAGGGGGTTCGGTTTCGTGGAATGGAGGGATTGATTTCATCGAGTAGAGGGATTCGGTTTCACTGAGGGGAGGGATTAGTTTCACCGAGTAGATGGATTGGTTTCGCCAAGTGGGGGCAGTTTCTCTTTCGCCGAGTGGGGGGAATTGCTTTCGCTGGGAGGAGGCGAAAGCAATAAGGGCAATTCAGTCTTTAGGCCAAAAATCAAAATTCCAGATTGGTACCTGATGCCTTCTTTGTCATTTTGCTTATTCAGGTGCCTTATTTGTCTTTTTGGAGTTCAAGTGGTGTTTTAGTGTCATTTTCCCAAAAAGTAATTAATTTTTCATCCAAATAAATGCAAAATATAAATTCTGAAATTTCGGAGAATTGTTCTAACAGTTAGCTGGAACGCACTGATTCCTTCAACTTTTTCAACTTTGATTTCATATTTTTGGGGTCCATTGGAAAGGACAAAGAAAGAGCCTTGTCACTTCCTAGCTCCAAGTTTTTCTTTGCTTCTCAAGTTTTTCATTTTCCGATCATCGTTTTCTATTTTAGAGAGAGAAAGAAAGAGGACTATGATTTCCCACCAAGTTGACGACTCACCAAGATCGTGAAGAGTCTGGTGATTGCAGTGGAATTGTGTTCCTCTGGTTATTGAAAATTTGCAAGCCAAGAATCTTAAACTGAATTCAGGTACGAAAATCAAACCCTCGTTAGTCTTTCATTTTCTGGAGCTGTCACTTACAGATTACATTTGTTACTTGTTCTTCTTTCAACTTGCACGGCACATATCTGATAGAAAGTACCACTCAAAAACAGTACATCGTTCCTTTATTGTCTAAAAAGAGCCGCAAAAAGCTTACATCTCATGGCAATAAAGCTACGACGATTGATCTTTCTTATTTTGCAGATTCCACATCTTCAAATTTACCTTTCATCAGCTTGCTGTTACGTATTTGGAGATGGAGCAGTAAAAATATTGCTCTTCAGGGAATAAAATTTTGATTTTGAAACGGTACGCACCTGAGTTCGGAAGAAAAATAGCTTTACAATGAATAAGTTAATATTTCAAGATTTTTCTAGCACGCATGTTCTATCTTTATTAAAATATTTTTATATTTTCTCTCAGAAATTTTTATGATGCGTGAAGAAAAGAAACAGAATCAAATCGTTAAGTTTTATATGTTTTATATGCATTTTTCTTTCATTTAAGTACATTTTTTCAATTTTCTTCAAACATTTTTACATTTATTTATTTATTAAACAAAATAGAAAAATTGCTAAAATCCCTCGTTAAAATATTTATTAATTAAAGGTACTTGAAATTTATTTGAAGATCAAAGCGCAACTTATCCTTGGTATGAGCGGCAGAAAAAAAAAAAAAACCTTATCCTTGTCATGTGTTGGCCAAAAAAAAAAAATCCTTATTCTTGGCACATGCAGCACATTTACATATAAGTGAAGATACGTTGAACACTGAAAAAGAGTTGCATCTACTCAATTCAGGTCACAACACTTTCTAAATAATGATTTACTTTAGTTTATTTGCCTATTTTTGTTTATAAAACTAATAAACGAACTTGTTAAAAAATGAGTACATCTGCCACTTGCACTATGTAGGAATTTCATACGATACTAGTGCTAAAAAATTTTACCTGATCTGGTCATCACAGTGCAGTTCTGTGATTACTCTCCAAAATCTCCAAGCCCACACTGAAAGTCTAACTTCATCTATCACAGGTATGAAGCAGTATCCCTCTCCTGAATTTATTTAAACACTTTCAATGTGCATGTCATCTTGTGAGTTGTCACAATTTGCAGAATATAGGATTTATTGGTAACTAACTTTTATAATTCGGACTTATCTGTAAATTTCCAATACATTTTTATTTCCAACAAAGTTTGTATAAATTAATTTACCTAAGACGTCTTCCCCAATCAATCTAAGAGATTAGATAGTAGTTTTGGCCGTTTTGAAGAATGTGTTATGCTTCATATAAAAGCAGGGGCAAAGTTCAATGATTCTTGGATTAAAAAAATGACATACCAACATGGGATTCCTAATAAAAAAAAAAAGTTTGAAAATCAAAATTTTATCCCGTAAAGATACCGCATGGCAATCTTTTTACTGCTTCATATATCCTTAAATATATAGGAGCAAACTGAACGTTAAACTTGATGAAAAATAAGACCAATTATTGTAACTTTCTTGCCATGAGATATCTCTTAAAACTTTTTGCAGCTATTTTTAGAGACCAAAGTAACTAAATCTACTGTTATAGATTGTGTTTTTCTATCAGATCAGTGCCAAGTTGAAAGAAAATGAAAGCACCCAATTTATCTGTACTTTGAGAACTGAGGTTGTGATAGCAGATAAAGTCTTAATCAAGTATAACAAATAGAAAAACACCGATCAGAGAGTGAAAGCCTAATTAAAGAGGCAAAGAAAAAGAGATTTTGATGTTCATACATTAAGTTGATGATTCTTGGCTTGGATAAGATAGTGCTCTTTCGTTTCCTTTGTTTTTTTCCCTAAAACTGAGCAAGATTATAGTCCTCAAAATATGAAATCAAAATTGAAAAAAGTTAAAGCAATATAATCATGCGATCCAGTTGATTATTATATTAGGCGTTTGGGGACGCCGTGTCCTTATCTACTTGCTTTCCAGCTGCCTTTGGACCAAATGTAAAAGTTAAAATAAAAAGGCAATGTTATATTTCTTTTTTTTTTTTTGAAACTTCAGAATTTATATTTTGCATTAATGTATTTGGAAAATTAATTATCTGTCATATCGTTTTCCAATTTGGCTCACTTATTTTATCAATTATCTTTCGGTTCATCTAACTCTAATACTGTTGGATTCAATAAATAATGATTTTTCATGTTGTCATTATTATTCGTAAAAATTTAATATGTTAATATTAGAAAATACTTTGTCAATGTTTAAAATTTTAATGCTTACCGTTTTTATTAATGAAATTAACGATATTATTGTTATGAAGATAACTTAAAAAATAATTTTTTAAATTTTATTTATCAAGCTTTGATTAAAAAAATAAGTAAAAATAAAAAAAATTATGAAAATACCTGAGAACCCCTTTTGTAAAGTCCCATCTATGACGAATGTACTTCATTGTGAAATCTTTTAAAATATTATATATTTCCCAAAAAGTGTGACTTACTAATTTCTTTGTTCTTAATGAGCACATCTATCGAACTTTAGTCATATAATTGAATCAAATTAAATATTCTAAAGCCATATAGTATAGTTAGAAAAGGATTGATACACAGAAGACAATAATACCAATAATGTGTAGAGAACATATGTTTCACATTTCCCCTCATTGATCTTTTATCTCTTAATTTCTCTTTCACTATCTTCTAATTAATTAACTAGTCAAAATGAGTCATCTAGCATTTTAATATATACTAAATCTAGCACTTGTTCGAAATGAGACATTTCCTAACCAGAGGAATGAAAAAAAGTGTCTGAATTTCATACATTTATAGAAGCTAAGGAAGGTGACCAAAAAAAAATTGAAAAAGAGAAACTAAGCATTTAGGCACAAACATAGGGTTTGTTTGGTTTTTTGTTTCGAAAACAATTTTTTGTTTTTAAAAACAAAAAAACCAAAAAGCTTGTTTGGCAATTTGTTTTTAGTTGATTGTTTTAAAAAACAAAAAAACAAAAATATATTTTTAAAAACTGAAAAACCAAAACAACTTTTACATGTTTTTTTGTTTTTGTTTTTGTGTTTTTTATTTTTTTGAAAAACTGGAGAAATTTTTTTCTCTTCTCCTCTACTACCCACTACTTATCACCACCGGTGATAACTATCATTTATCAAAGTATAGTTTTTTATTTTTTTCAAATGTGATTTTTTAAAAATTATTTTCCAAACCAATTTTTTTTTTGTTTTTGGTTTCCAAAACTTGTTCTTAAAAACAATTTTATAAAATTGTTTTGAGAATAAGAAAACAAAGAACAAAAACAAAACAGGCCCACAATTTTTTATATCTGTGATACTTCTCTAGTTTTAAGTATAAGACTCATTTTGTAGTATAATTAGTTACATTACATAGTGGATCTCTCAGTTCTCAAAGCATCAATGGCTTGTTAGGGGCTGATAATTGCTGCTGTCATGCAGACTACATTTTTTCTTCTTTCTTTCACCTTTGCATCAATCTGCCAAGGGGAAAAATAGAATCACAAAACATTAAATTTTGTTACTCTAATATCTGAACATAGCAGAGGCCCCAAAAAAACCTGTTATCAGAGCGAGAAAGCTGAGCCGAGACATTTGATCTCTCTTATTTTACTTTGGATTACGGAAAGATCGTTCTTTTCATCTTCATGATATCTTCATGAAACATTAAGTACGTAATTAACATACTTCAATTCTTCATAATGAAATTTTGAGTTAGTCAATTGATGACGATGAATGGCTCTCCTTTCAGGTCGCTATTAATACTAAATGGCAGAGGTGGGAGTGTCGTTAGCGGCAAAACTTGCTGAATATCTAGTGGATCCAACTTTACGGCGGTTGCAGTATTTGTTCTGTGTCGGCAAAATCACCAAAAACGTTCAGATCAGAAAGGAGGAGCTGATACTCAAGCAAGGAAGGGTACAGGAACGTGTTCAAGAGGCCATCAACAGGACTGAGTGGATTGACGGTGAGGTTGACAGGTGGAAGAATGATGTAAAGAGTCTCATAGCAGAGGTGGAGGAATTGGAGGACGAACTAGGGGCCAACAATGGCTGTCATGGACAATGGTATCCTACTTGGAGGAGATATGATCTCTGCAAAAAGTTGGCTAAGACAACCCAGAGGATGATTGATCTAAACACAAAGAGTGATCGCTTCAATCCATTTTCTCACCCTGTTATTATTCCAGGTATAGAATATCACTCTTCTAAAGGTTTTATGTTCTTTGAGTCAACGAAAAAAGCACATGATGAACTATGGGCAGCGTTGCAAGATGATGATAGCTCTATGATCGGATTGTGGGGTATGGGCGGTTCAGGCAAAACCACATTGGTAAAGGAAGTAGGAAAGAAAGCCAAAGCATCAAAGCTATTTGATCAAGTAATAATTACAACAGTTTCTCAAACTCCAAATATTTGGAAGATCCAAGGTGAAATTGCAGACTTGTTGGGACTCAAGCCGGAGGAAGAAACTGAAGCGGGAAGGGCAAGAAGAATTGCATTGAAATTACAAAGTTCAAACAATCGAATTTTGATTGTACTAGATGATGTATGGGATATGCTGGACCTTGAGAATATAGGGAATCCCTATAGGGACGAAGGTCCAAGAAACTGTAAACTTCTTCTTACCACACGTCGTCAAGAGGTGTGTACTATGATGGATTGCCAGAAAACAATTTCCCTGGGTTTGTTAACAGAAGGTGAAGCTTGGGATCTATTTCAAACTCATGGTAGAGTAGATGATGGTGTAAGAAAAGTGGCTCAAGAAGTTGTCGCTGAATGTAGGGGATTACCCATTGCAATTGTGGCCATGGGGAAGTGCTTAAGAAGAAAAGGACTTGATGAGATGAATGTAGCATTGCATAGATTGAGACATTCAAAGCCACTTGATGAGGATAAAGCCTTTACTATTCTCAAGTTAAGCTATGATTACTTGAAAAATGCAGAGGCTAAGTTGTTGTTCTTGGTATGTGCCATGTTTCCTGAAGATCATGAAATCGAAATTGAAGATCTTTTTAGATATGGAGTTGGATTGGGCCTATGCAAAGATGCTGACTCATTTGAAATAGCAAGGAGCCAAGTTAGAGCAGCTATAAATGTTCTCGTTGACTCTTCATTGTTGATGTTTTCTGTCAACTCCAGAGAAGAAAAATGTGTGAAAATGCATGACATAGTTCGTGATGTAGCTTTATGGGTAGCAACTCAAGAGAATAGTACCATTATGGTAAACAATGGAAAAGAATGGAATAAATTGATTTCTGATGAAGTTATAAAAGATTGCTATGCTATATCTTCATGGTATGATGATAGTATATTATTTCAATTTTTGTCTCAACTGGGTGCTCCAAAACTTGAGTTTCTATTATTAGATTCTGTGAAACTTGTTGATACATTACATGCATCATTTGAAGGCTCTACAGGACTCAAGGCATTGATTATGATGTGCAAGTATTTCGATAGGATTGAGCTACAACCTCAATCAATTCAACACTTGTCTAATCTTCGGACTTTGCGATTGCAAGGTTGGAATTTATGTGACATCTCTTTTGTGGTAAGCCTTACAAGACTTGAAATTCTTGACTTGCAAAGAAGTATGTTTGAAAGATTGCCAAATGGAATTGAAAATTTAAACAAGCTGAAGTTGTTAGATTTGTCAGATTGTTACATAGGTGAATGTTGTTGCAAAGTAATAGGAAGATGCTCACAGTTAGAAGAGTTGTATGTTACCATGCATTGTCCACAGTCAAAAATTGCAAAATGCTATGAATGCCTTATGGCCCCTACTGCTTTGATTAAACTGAGAAGGTATAGGATAGGAATTGGGGAGCATAAATTGATGTCTCAAAAGGAAAGTGCAAGATATTTACGCTTGGTTCAGTTAAATATCGCCATGTTAGGTGTAGGAATCAAGGATCTTGCACAAAGAGCAACTACAATTAAATTTCATGAGCTTGAGGGAGGCAGCAGAAGTTTCATGCCTAATGTTGTTCAAGCTATCGGAGCCATGAATGAGTTAACTAAGCTCTGTCTTAGAAGGTGTTCAGAGATGGAATGCATTGTTGACAAAATTAATACTCATGAAGATGCGATTTCCCCAAGATTGGATGAGTTAGTGCTAAAAGATATGGATAATCTTCAACAACTACATCGTGGTCTTTCTTCTTTTAGCTTGTTCCAAAAGCTAGAAACACTACATATATCCAATTGCCCTCAGTTGCTCCATATATTCCCCGCTGATTGCAACATAGGCAATCTTAAGTTTCTCAATATTTTTGGTTGTCCGAGGTTGACATCTCTCTTCCCTGTCTCTGCTGTGTGCACTCTGCTGTCCTTACAAGAGCTCCAAATAGAAAGGTGCAATGAACTGAAGCATGTAATAGAAGGAGAGGGTGGTGGTGATGCATTGGAAAGACTATGTATATCCAATTGCCCTCAGTTGCTCCATATATTCCCTGCTGATTGCAACTTAGGCAATCTTAAGTTTCTCAATATTTTTGGTTGTCCGAAGTTAAGATCTCTCTTCCCTGTCTCTGTTGTGTGCACTCTATTGTCATTACGAGAGCTCCGAATACAAAGTTGCAGTGAACTGAAGCATGTTTTAGAGGGAGAGAGTGATGGTGATGCATGGGAGAATTTGAGCTTCCCAAAATTGAAAATTTTGTCTGTTGGTGATTGCTGCAAATTAGAATCTGTATGCTCAGTCTTTTTAGCTCAAAGGTTTGTACAATTGCAGCGTCTATCCATAACAAATGCTCCTCAAATGAAATTTGTGTTCGGTGAAAATGCTGATGAAGAACAACCACTGCGTGATCAAGATGAGACTCAAATAGCTCTTTCTCTTTTGGAATACCTCACACTAACAAATCTTCCAAACCTTGTTGGAATTTGCTCAGAGAGGTATCATCTAAGGGGGCCATCTATAAAGACAATAGAATGGAAGGATTGTCCAAATCTGGTACGTGTTTGCCTCACATATTGTAATTTGATTTGCAAAAAAAAAAAGAAGTTGAAATTGCTTTTTTTTTTTTTTTAGTTTATGTAAAAAGACATCTTTGTTTACACGTCTAATTTTTCTTTATCATCCACAAAATAGCAAATAATGTTCACGCGAATAGATTTTGAGAGATGAGTTAGTCAATTAATTCATTCACATTTTGTTATTTAAAATAAGAAATAAAATTAAAATATCTAAAATCATGCACAATTTTTTTGAGCATTTGAATTTCACTCTGCTTTTGGTTTAGAATTACTCTGCATTATGGAAATAAAAATGCAATGACCAATAACAACTTTTGTTTACCATTTCAACGTCCCACAAGAAACATTGAATCTTATGGGCCCCTCTTTATAATTTTTCCTTGACTTCATTGATTGTGAAATCTATTTTCTTTTATATGCATATGGTTTATCTTTATTTAATTTACAGAAAAATTGATAGACCAAGTCTATGCAAGAATGATGCATATGGAATTTTAATCAATCTCGATTTATTGTCTTTTAGGAATTATGTTAATAGATGTCATTTTCTTTATTCCTTTTTTTCCTTTCACAAAGGATTTGCAGGAATTTGAGAGCCACCAGAGGAATGAAGAACACGAGTCGTTGGCAACTATAGAACGTATTCAACTTCATAACTGCGGAGTAGAATCCATTTCCCTCTATAAGACGCGCGTTGAAGAACAATATCCAACATTTCAATCCCTTAAAACACCTAGACTTGGATAATCATGCAAGATTGAAATTTGTCTTTTCTGCTCACATGTGTCAAAGTCTTCCAGAGTTAACTTTTATAGCCATATCTCGTTGTGAGGAGTTGGAGGCGATCTTTTCGGAGAATGAAGAGACTCAAAAAAATCCAGCTAATGCAGAATCCTGTCTGCTGAAATTAAAGAGCCTGGAAGTCTTTGGGTGCAACAAGCTTAAATTCATTTTATCTTTCATGATTGGTCCTACTGTATCAATGCTGCCACAACTAAGCACTCTAGCCATATCAAATTCTTCCGAAATGGAAGAAATTTTCAAATGCCCAAATATTGAAGATCATCACATTGATAGTAGTGAAAAGGAGATTACATTCCCGAACATGGAATATCTGAAACTTGAGAACTTGCCAAGACTTGTTAATGTCTGCCAAGGATTCAAGTTGCAGACAGGGGAGTTTTGCACGGTTGCGGTTCATGACTGCCCAAAACTTATGCCAATTATGGGTGCATCTATTCAATGGACTAAAGAGGTAACGAATATTCTGCATTTGTATTTCTCCATATTGCAAATATTTTTCTTTTTTTTTTTTTTGCAAAATTAATTAAATTCATGCGAGCTGAACATTTAATACTTTCAATTTTTTGTTTTTAATGTTTTGTTCATTTAAGCTCATGAACTGCGGTCTAATACATTCATTCGTTTCACATGCATATGAACAAGACATCTCTACATACAAAAAGCTGCTTCAAAAAACGAATCATTCTGCATTTCATGAAAGAAACCAAACGAACTACGGTTTAGTTTGTCAACTTGTGACTAGTTTGGTACTGCCGATACAAATACGATGTAAATTTTCTTCCACCATGTTATCTCACAATCAATGATAGTTCAAGTCATAGAAGTTGAAGAGAAGAAGGATTTCAGCAATGCAGAGCATTATATATTTCCGGTTTTACCATGATTCTGCCATGTAGACAAGCAATTGACTAAGATATCATATATTCTTGCATACAAATCGAAGTTACCAAATTAAGAACTGCATATCTTAACTTGTACAAATAGGTACAGATGTTGAATGTACTGCAATCTCTTTCTTTTCATAACCTTTATCAAGGAACTTAGAATATTTTATTCCCTCACCTTTCACTTCTCTGTTATATGCAGGGACTTGTAACGGAGTATGTGTTGAGATACAGCCAATTGGATAACAATGAGGCTCTCAATAATCTTCCACTTTCTGTTCTAAATATTGGAGAGTTTGATATTCAAAGTCCTAGAGTTGAACACGAGCGGCGAGTGATTGTTAATGATGAGCAAGAAGAAACCAACAACTCAGGAATGTTGAGATCAGAGCAACAAATGCCGGGAGGTCTTGTTCCAACGCAAGTTTTGAGCTTTCAACATCTTCATTCCTTAAAAGTAACTCACAATAAAAGGTTGAAGTTTTTGTTCTCAAGGAGCACTATTGTCCACACCAGCCTTCCCAATTGGCTTCCCTAATCTTATCTGATTGTGAAGAACTGGAGGAAATAATTGCAGAAAATGAGGAACATCAGATCATGTCCAGTGTTGAAGTTCACTTTCCAGAACTCAGATATTTGAAGGTTGAGAGGTGCAACAAGCTCAAAAGACTCTTCTCTACGTCCACGGGTATTATTCTTCCACAACTAGACTTTTTGTCAATAGCTGAGGCTAATCAACTGGAGGTGATTTTTAGACATAGCAGTGAAGGCGATGCGAACTGCAGTGAGGCGATTGTGCTTTCCGGCTTGAGGACGATAATGCTAACAAATTTGTCAAATTTGAAAAGTATCTGTCAAGGATTGCAGATTCAGGTGCAGCTGAGTAGCATCTGCATACAGAACTGCCCAAAATTTGTGGATTCAACTTTGGGAAGGGCTCTTCAACAATTGGGAACAGTATCGGTATGAATGAATATTCCATATCATCTTGATTTAGAGTCTTCAAATTAGATGGAATATACGTTGTTAGAATCATCATATATATCATTTTGGTAGCTGTATAAATTACAAAGAGATTTTCAAGGACGTGAAGAAGGAAAAATAAATACTTGATGCACGGACACAAATAGATTTTCTTTCAATTTCAGATCACAATGGATGAAACTATATGGAATATATGTGTGTGTTGTGAGACTTCATTTCACATTTTTTTTAATATTTATTAAATATATTCTTTTGAAATTTTTCATATCAAAATTGTGACTATGAAATTTCACCCCCAAAAAAATGGCAGTGAAAGAATAATTGCGTGCATGGCGATTCGCAACTATTTTAATAAAAAATATATTTTATAGGAAATTAAACTAAATCAATTATAAATGATTTTTTTTTTTGCCTGTAACCATACACTGATTATGTATAAACATTTGTACATCAGTAAAGAGCAAGGAGTTTGCTTGGTATGGTTACGATGTATCTAATTTTTTCAAATCCAAGTTTTAAAAAAGAAACTTTAATGCTCTAAATTTGATTGATGTGAATAAATTTGTCTTTTTTAAAAAAACATGAAATTGCAATTGCTGCAGGTTTCAACGGAAGATTCAAATATTCAAACTTCATCCAATGGAGAAAAAGAATTGGCAGTAAATGAAGAAAAAGGGACGGTTGTGATCTCAGGAGCAGAAAGGTTGTATTTGACGGATTCAATGAACCTCGTATCCATATGGGAGGGTCCCGGTTTCATGGTCTTCCAAAATCTTAAGACTTATCTGTGAGTAAATGTACAAAATTGAAGTGTATGTTCCCAGGCACTGTAATCAGAAGCCTACCATGTTTGTTGTCTCTAAGCATTGAAGAATGTGAAGAGATGGAGGAAATGATGTCATCAGAAGAAGAGCATCACTACTTTCCAAATGCATCCTCCTCTCATTCCTTCTGCTTCCCACAACTTAAATATCTTAAAGTCATAAGATGCAGAGAGTTGAAATGGCTCTTCCCCTCTCTGTCCTCTACTCTCCATCTTCCACAGTTGGATTGTTTGAGCATTGAAAAGTGCTCTGAACTAAAGGGACTTTTTAATTGCGAACCCGAAATCCAAGAGGAAGGGTTTTACAACAACATACTTCCAAACCTGAGATATCCAAATATTATAGATTGCCCCATCTTCTCCAAAACCACACTCGCAGCTCTTCAAAGGTGCGCACATTTGACTTTAGATTGTTCTGTTTTTTTTTCTTTGGAATTTCTCCTTTTTCTTTTTGCCGGCATTATATTTTTTGATTGCGTACACTTAGAAATTTTGGCATGGCACACCATACAATTTGAATTTTGAATTTATTTATAAACAGAATTATAGTAAAGGGTCAAATTCACAAATTAATTATTATTTAGAATGCTTCTAAATTTACAACTCAAACAAATGCATGTTCACGACATAATACAAGTTTACAACTAATAAGAACAGATTTAACGTTATTTACTACTCAAATAGTAACACAGATATACGGCTGCATTAATGAGAATTATTGTCATCAGATTCTTCCTTAGCTTATTCATTTACCGTCTCTCCTTCGTGATCTCTCCATTTTCTTCTCAGAAAGATATAATTGATGTACACATTTTGGAAGAACTGCAGGATGAAACTTTGTGTTTTTTGTTTTTTGTTTTTTGGGAGACATGCTGCATGTTTTCCTCAGATCTATTGTTTACTCTGCTAAATATATTTCATTTTCCCATAATTCTACAGTCATGCAGCTGAAAATGCGACGATGTGGCGGTGCTGATGATGGTGGTGGTGGTGGGCATATTTGTACAGTCTGCTTCATTTGAATGGTGATGGCATGCGATCGACGTTGCAGAAGGCATTCATTTGTCTCATTTTTATTTAAATACTTTGATTCGTTGTCTACGAACAAAAGTACTGCTTTCTCAAGTTTCAATTAACACTTTCGCCAATATACGAATCATCATTCATTCATTCATTTTCAGTAGTGCACTATTTTTTGGGGCGCGAAATAAATGGATTTTCGTGAATACCCCCCCAAGTACTAGTACGTTTTATAAAGTATTAATATGTTGTGTATAAAAATTTGCAGACTATCAATGCTTTTTATTTATGTATTAAATTTATCACATCCTTCTTGTCAATAAAGTTTTTTTTTTTTGGTGAACTCTTGTCAATAAAGGTTTTTAATGGAGGGTTTTTCATAATTTTCCCTAAGGCATTGTTTGGTATGAGGGAAATGGAGAAAAGGGGAGGGGAAGAAAAATTTTAATGAGCTCTATTTATAAAAATAAAGAAGTGGGGTTTGAAATTTTAATAAAGAGAAGAAGTAATATAAAAGAGTAATAAAAATTAATTAAAAATTTTTAATCCCATTTTTTTTACTTTTTAAATTGAATTTATTAAAAAAATTTCTCCTCTCCTCCCCTCTCATTTTTTTTTCTCATACCAATCAGACCTTAAAAAAAAAATAGAGCTAGTCTAACTCATCAAAAATGACGGATTAAGGTTGGTTTTCCAACAAACAAATTTTCAACCCGGACTACCAGACCTGTATCCCACCATGGATTAGCCTACCAAGTCACTAGCCAACTCCTTTTTATTTTATTTTTTAATTTTATTAATTATTATAATTATATTATTATATTTTATATCCTATCTAAAAGTTAAAAAATACCAATATCATTTATTTGATGTTTTCAATCAAGTATTTAAAGGAAAACCAAAAAATTTTATTATATTTTATTTATGAATAAAAAAATTTTAAAAATAGAAAATATCTTTTAAAAAACATAAATAGTAGTCGGTGGGTTGGCTAATCATCCCGTCAAGCCCTCCATAATGAGTTAGGTTGGCCAAAAACCAGCCCGCCATCACACAAACTTTTTTAAGTGACACCGCCCATATTAACACTCCTTAAAAAAAGCTACCATTTTGAGGAAATTTCAAATTAATTTGGACATAATGAATTAACATCGCCCATTAGATCCTTAGACTATTATTAAAAGTTAAGGCGTACACTTGTCTCTAAATTATTTTTTCAAAGCAATTAAGCATTCACTTTTTTTAAAAAAAATAATATTGCAATAAGGAAAAATCATTTTTGGAATTACATATATTAACATTTATATCCCCCATTTTCATATAATGTTGAGTTTAAAACATCAATTTAAAATTTTAAATAAAATTAAAAAATTGAAAACATGAAAAATAAATCATCGTGATAGTCAGAAGATCAACAAATTATATAAAAAAAATTAATAAAAATAAATAAATAATGAATATTAAAAATTGAAAAAAAAAATAATGTATATATTTGAGCTAGGCTATATATCACTAGTGCAAAATACCCCTTTTCACTTCAGTTCAAAATATGCTTTCGTTACTACATTGGAGGTGTAGTAGAAGACAGAGAAACGAAAGATAGGAACAGACACCATAAGTCGCAACTTACGGCTTTTGTTGTCCAATGCAACAGAACGTCATAAGGCACAACTTACGGCTTCTGTTTCTCACGATAGCAGATGCCATAAGTAGTCATTTTTTTGGGGAAAAGAATAAAAATAAAACACACAAATCCAATGATTGCCAATTGCTCATGAACTAATACTCACAAGCTTCCCTATACATATGTACATATCCAATGTTAGAAAGACTAAAAATGCCAAAACCAACCTAAATTTCAGCAATTACATAAATTTGTAATAACACATGAATATAAAAGCCAGATGCTCTGCCTAATTTGGCTGCCATGCTCTTCAAGCTGAAAGTATTATTGCAGGAATGAGAGAAACCCAAAGACAAATCCTCCACCTGAGAAAATTATTGCATACGAGATGTTACCTTTGAAAAATAAAGCTGACAAATAATATGAAAAAATAACCTTGAAATCTGGAACTAATAAAAGATGTAAACATAGTTGGACTTGTCCAAATAAGGGATCCAATAACAAGCACCAGGGCTCGCATATGCCATACTTTCAATTCATTATAAACATGGAACTGTATAATAAATAATGTTTTGTGGATATATAGATCATTGTTAAATCCCAGGTAGAGCATAACATGTATAAAGCTTCCTAAATTGTGGAGATACCTTAGTATGGTCAAGGGGGTAGTAAATATGAAGCAACCCATTCCCTCCACTATATCTTCTTGTCTAACAATGACATAACATTCTTTGTCTGACTCAATATTTTACTTCTCCACAGATCATTCTCACTAACTATATCCCAAGAATTACCTTCTTCTGTCATAACCCAAAAAACTTTCAAAGCATTCTAGAACTTAAACATAAAAAATAAAAGGCTTTTCTACAACTCAAAAATATGAATGTCTTGAATCTCAACATGGAAAGTAAATTACTTTGTAATGTAATAAGCAACAAGTTTTAAAGATAGGAGTATGTTTGGACGTTTACCAGTTGTATTCTGTGAATTTGATGCTTAAGCACATTGAAGTTTTTTAAGAAAAGTATTTCTAGAGCTTTTCACTATTAATCATCCATAATAAATGGGAGATAATATCGTATTGCACATCATGATCAAGCAGAAGGGTGTCAATAAGGAGAAAAGACTCCACTCATAAAATACTTTACAAAACAAATATAAAATAGTATAGTCATACCCTCTGAAGACCATTGATTCAAGTTAATAACCATTGCATTCATGCAGAAAACGGCCCACGTTATTCCATATAAGAGAAACAAACAAATGAATGAATAATCTACTACTCAACAACTTGATCATTTCCATAGCAGCTACAGATGCATCGCCTCACGGCATGGAGAAGTAAACATCAAAGACAATCCCCTAACCATTCCAATTATATCTAGCAAGAAAGGCCTCAGATAGCAGCTAAAATTTAATAAACAAATTTCATCATCAAAAGTTTAAACAACTTAATCTTAGAAAGCATATAAAATAAAAACAATTCCAGCAAAGGAAAAAAGCCCATGAAAAAGAAAAGAAATCCCACTTAAAGTTAAGGAATTTGGTTAGTTTAAGAGGATTGAAAAATTTTCAGGAATTTGAGCCAGGAAGAGCTCTAGATAATGCAGAAGAAGAAGAAAATGACCACAAAAGGTCAGTAGCAACTAACGCACCCTCAAAAAGAGGCAAAAAAAATGTTTTCCTTGATATCTCAAAGTAAATAATAGGCATATATGTTATATTGGAGTTGTTTCTATACATTTCTAGTTTTCAGTGAGAACAAAATTTGTAGAAACTTGCGAAATTGGTGGGGTTTTCTCAAATGTAACCCGACATGCCTTCAAGAGTTCTAACACATAAGTCAATGCATTTTTCATTATGGAATCAACCCAAGCAAATTAAATGATGACTTAGAAACCTAGGGCACAACACAAACAATGGATCATTACCTCTGTTTTTATAAAGCAAAACTTTCAGTTCATTTTTTAAAATGTTTTTTTAGCTATGGCCTATTAGTGTTTATTGATAAAATATCACTAGTTAATTAATAATGTTCTTGAATTGAAATTCTGAAACTCCATTTCTATGAGGAATCAAGATACTTGTATACGTACTTATCATCTAACATTCAACAAAGTTCAAACATAAGCTACTATATCTACACTAAATGCATACAGCACACGTTCCACATCGTTGACAATTCATCATCAGCACCATTATCACTATCTCCACCATGCAGAATATCTATTAAATAAATTGTCCTAGTATTTTAAATTCACATAGATGTCAAATACAACCCAGTTATACAGCAAACTTCAGCAACAGACTTCACCAAGAAAAAACAAAAAAAAAATTGATTTCATTGCTTTGATTATACAACAATCAAATTGTTTCTTAGCTGACCAAGCAATTTTAACTTAGAATTTTTTTTTGGGTCAAAATGGAAATTAAGTTAAAATGAAAGTCAAAATCTAACATTGGAAATTAAATGAATTTTTGCATTCGGATATTACCCAAAACATCTGACAACCAAAACATTTGCTATTTCCTTGGAATCATAGCGAATCATCTTGTTCATAAAAATATGCTGCAGTTCCGACTTCGGTGTTCAGGATTTTAAAAACAGATTCACATAAAATGGTAACGTATGATTTTTTTCTAGATATCAAATAGGAAATAAACTCTAAAGAAAATATCATTAGATGCTCAACGCCCCCAAAACATTCTTAAAAAAAAAAAAAAACCATGACCGGCAACTTTGTTTCAATAGTATTCAAAAGTTGTACAACATGAATTATATTATACATACCATAATCGTCAAGTCATATGATATTTCAACCAGATATTTTTACAAAAATCAACACTAAGTTAACCAATAAACAGAGAATAACAAAGAACAGAACAAATATCATCATCTGAATAAAGAATTAAAAAAATCAACACCTGGCTGAAAAAATAACAAAGAACAAGAATAAAAAGAACCCAAACAAAAAAGAATCCAGAATGGGAAGCAAAATCGAAAAAACTTACCAAGAGCTACGCTTGAAACCAGTTGTCGTGAATAAAAAAAAAGGAGCAGCCAGAGATGGAAGAACGAAAGGGAGCACAACCATGAATAGAACGAAAGTAAAATGGAGTGCAGGAGCCGACACTCATGGCGAACTGAAGAAAATCCCTGATGAGACCCAAGCTAGGCGAGACCCACGGACAAGCCGAAGAGGACGGCAGAGAAGAAGAAGATCGCCGGCGAGACCCAACGAAGATCCACAGCCAGAGGCAAACAAAGATAGAACAAAAGCAAGGCAAAAAGTGATCGAGCAGAGTGGAGAGGCGGCAGCAGAAAATAAGTC